TATTATAGCTTTACTGCTATAATGCCTACTATTAGAAGAAGCCTATAGATACCTAATCCTAATAAGCCTTATCTAATAGAAGGCTATAATATAATTAATATAATTAACTAAGCTATTAAGGAAGATAGTTATAATAAGCTTTATAATATAATAATAGAAATTAGAGAGGCCTAGTTATATAGGAATAATACTAGCTGTATTAAGCTAATAGCCTTTAATTATAAGATACTCTGGCTTATATACCTTCTCTATAATAGCCACCTTCCTATTAAAGAAGCCTTCCTTAATTCTAAGATAAAGGAACTTAATAGGCTAAAAGGAAAGCTAATTAGAGAGGTAAATCTAAGCCAGAGGGAGAGGAAATTTATTAAGGCCCTTTGCCTAGGCAGCTTATATAATAAGTAGCTTAAGACTATCTAAGGGCAGGCTAAGAGGGTATTAGAGAAGACTAAGCCCCTGTAATATATAAACCAGGCTGGCCATAGTCTTAGACTATAAGAGTGCAACTAAGATAAGGGGGATGGTATACTGCGTAATCTAGGATAGAAGAGGGGTAATTATAGGGTTCTATAGGAAGAAAATATATTAAGTTTTTTATAAGTTTAATTGCCTAAAGTTAAAGACTATTGGCATTAGTGGCATAAAAAGGGTTAAATAAGTCATAGGATATAGTATATAATAAATTTAATAAATTAGCTAAATATTAATATATTATTAATATAAACAGGGGGTTTTTATATTATAGTTTAAAACTATAATTAGCCTAGTCCTTATAGGTTATTAATTTCCTTTTATAAAAGTAATACCTTTATTACTTATTTTCTAATTATAAAGCTACTTATTATATAAGCTATTATAAAGGTTTTTTAGGAACTTATTTTACCTTCTTTATAAGTGCCCTTTACTTAATACCTATTTAAGAGTCTTAAAGCTTTATATCTTAGTATAAAACAAGGCCTTATTAATCTAAGGGATATAAAAATATAATTATATAAGTTAAAGGCCTATATAGCTAAAGAGGGCTAGCTTAATATAGCTAATATTATTTTTAATTATTTAGGCTATTTTAATTTTAATAGCTATTATATAAAACTTATTATAATTACTTTACTTAGTGCTTAAAAGAGCTTTTTTAATTATTTAAATTATATTATAATCTTCTATTAGATAGGGCTTATTAGGCCTAGGTAGCCATAGGCTTCTTTAGATAATAAGTATTATAATAAGGCAGTTATAATATTATTAGTAGTTATAATTAGAAAAAGGGAAGTTAAATTAAATTACTTACTAATAAGTTTACTACATAGTCTTTACTACTTAGCCTTTAGATAACTTAGAAGTAGAAATATAATATATAATTTAAATATAATATCTGCAGAGGTTAATAAAAAAGTAGCCTTTAAAGTAGGTTATAGGAAGAAGATTAAGGCCAGCTAAAAAGTAAGTAAGGCTCTTTAGCTAGGTTATATATAACTAGGTTTAGGCTATAATTAAGGCAGCTAATTATAATAATATTAACCTAATAAAACTTTACTTACTAAGAGGTAATAAATATTTTAATTATATTAGATTTTAAAAATACTTAGATATGCTTTTTAAGGCTAACTTATAAACTTAAAAAATATATAAAATATTATTTTAATACTTATATTTATAATTTATTATTAGGATAGGGAAAACATCTTCTTTATGCTAATGGATTAAGGCTACTTATTTAATTAGATCTTAAGGTTTAAGGCAGTAGCTATATAGTCTGCTAAGACTTAATATTAAGGTTATTATGTTTTTTAGCATAGTGTATAACGCCTTATATTATATTATATTAAAAACAAATACCTTGTTTTATTATCTTGCTTTAATGCCTTTGGCTTTACTCTATGCGTTATTAGATAGGCATTTTAACTTGAAAAAAAAAAAAAAAAATTTATTATTAAAGTTAAATATTATAAAAGTTATTTATATTATTAAATTTATAGTAATTATTACTTTTTATATTTTAATTAAAAGTATTTTTATTAACTAAGGTAAAACTTATATTATTTTATTTTTAAATAAAAAGAATTAATATAACTATTATATTTATAATACTTAAGGTTATATATTAATACTTAAATAAGAGCTATTAATATAAGGCTTAAATCCTAAGTTTAATATAAAAGGTTGAGAATAATTCACAGTAAGCTTAAATCCCTATTATCACCAGGGCTCAAGGTCCAAAGTCTTATTACCCCCTAAGGACTACCAAGCTGAGGCGGCCACAGTTCTGTCAAAATGTAGTTGATTCAGCCAATAGTACTACCCTGTCGAGCATGTAGCCATTTAGAAATCAGACTAATGGCCATATGTGCATAAGCGCTACGCCTTGGCGCGAGGCAGTTTTCAACTCAGTTGCCTTAAGCGAACCCCACGCGGATGCCTTGCTCATAGCGCGGTCTATATTAATTCATCCGTTGACCGCTGGGACCCTTATTTTCGCAGTTGCTGATTGTGCAACTCCTTACAAATACTTACTCATCTCGTTCCTTTAACTCCCTAAACCTGAGAGGTACTTATCACGCCTCAGAAAACCCTGTCATTTTCCGAAAACCGGATTATCCGATATCATGGCTGAAGCACTGGGAGTTGCGAGCTCAATTATAGCTGTCGTTGGAGCCTCTATTAAAATGGCGGAAACTATTCTTGGACTGATCTCGCTGTATCGCGACGCACCAGTTGAAGTTTCATTTCTCAAAAACGATGTTGCAGATACGCAGATAATCCTTTCTAGGATAAAAGAAAATATCTCATCCATTAGGCATGTTGAACACCGACTAGGACTCACAGACTCGGACGCAGTTTGGTGCAGTCTTTAAAATAACGATAAGGCTGGCTTCCTTCTCAGAAGGCTCGAATTGAGCTTGATCGAGATTGAAGAGACTCTGAGGATGATAGAGTCCAAGTTCAAAGATAATACAAGCATCGATCGCGCGACTTGGATAATGCATCGTAACAAAATCAAGACATTACGAGCGAATTTGCGAGAGCAGAAAGACAACATAATCCTCTACTTCTCGGGAAGTGCAAGGTGCGTACAAACCCACACGTATTTTAGGTGTTATTGCTCTGGTTATAAATAATAAATGGCTTACTTACATACCTTCAGTACGCAAGCCAGCCGGAATTTTGTTCTACTCACCAAGGTTCTATGCGAGAACAGTCAGAACATACATCAAGAGGGACAAAGACACAGCCATCTCGATGCGTTATTATAAAACATGTCTCGATCGCTCGCAGCGTTAAGCACTATTCCAGAACGCCAGACTCAGCTCATCGCCCTGCTGGAAGACCTTGCACCATCTGTTGTAACCCTTGAGCAGAGGACTACCGACACTACAAGTTCGCAAAAAATAAAGAATAAATCCAATATGGGAAACCCGGATGAGACGCCTACTGCTGGAGCTGCCCGCTCACTACCTCAGCTTTCTCCAGTTCCAGATACATCGTCCATACAAATATCCACCGAGTCGATTTCAACGCTCAAGTTGGAATTTTCTAGATTCCAGAAACGCGGCTGCGTTCTGGGATGCGAATGTCATTGCCACCAAAGACGGCGCTACCGCTCACCGTCCTTTGCGCAAAAGATTTTAGGCGAAGCATTTGTTGCTTTTTCCAGCATACCCTTACTATCGAGGCCTTGCCACAATGGTTGTATGCATAAATCTCGATTTTCGTTCAACTTCACGTACTATCTTCCCACCACCTTTCTTAACAAAATGGTCTCTCTGGTCTATATGACTACGACACAGGGAGACCCGGCCGTATGCATCAAGGTCCGACCCCTTAGCACTGACTTCTCGATCTACAGGGCAATCGAGAAATGCGATGTTGGTGGGATACATAAGATGCTTGAAGGACGCTTGGTTCACCCTAGTGCATCATTCAAAGGGTAAAAGCCCATCGCAAGTAAACACTAAACCTAGAAAGACTAACTCTTAATACTAAGGGCTGGACGCCACTCCATATAAGAACAACTATAAAAGCCTGTGAATGCAAAGTCGTGATTCTTATCACCCTAGTAGTACGTAATCAGCTATAACTATACCAATATCATAGAATCTCTTTTAGCCGCTAGAGCTAATCCGCTTATAGATAGTTAATATACTTATCTAGTTAGTATATTTATTAACTATATTATTTATTTATATATTAGAATTATATTATTATTTTATATTATTTTTTAATAAATAAGGGTTTAAATAAGAAAACTAATTTATATTAAGTTTTTATTTATAGGTTATATGAAATATTAAACTAAGTAAGTTAATTATTATATCTCTTAATAATTAAATAATATATAGTAGGTTTATTAATATATAGAAGTCTTATTAATAACTAGTAAATTAAATCTATAAAAGTATTATTATATATAATTTATATACTAGAAGTAATCTAAGAGGATTAATAAGCTAGTTAAATTATAGTAATTCCTAAAGTGTTATAATTCTATTTATAGGGTAATTTAGCTTTAGTTAGTTTATAGCTATTAAAAGGTCTATGCCTTATATAAGCATTTATAGGGCACACGTGATATAACTGCTAGAGTTATAATATATTTTAGTAAAGTTACTTAATTTTAATTTAGATTTAATATTTTTAGCTAATAAAATAAGACTAATTTAATTTTAAAATAATAAAATATAATACTTACCTGCATTTTATTCTTAATAGTATTTGAGATTATTAAGTTTAGGCCCCATACTGCAATAGCATTATAGATATAAGGCAGGAAAAATATATTTATGTTTTAATTAGATAAGACTAGAAATTGGGGTCGTGGTCTGGAAAACCCAAGTGCCGATTCCCCCTGGTAAGCACTAAGAATCGCTTACGTACGGTTTAGGCATCAGTCCCACCAATGTCGACGTGGCATTAATGCCAAATGCAGGATTAGCGACAACCTTAGATCACGGCTAATGCAGTCAGACCAAGACCCATGACGATCAATACCAACCATAAAATCACCTCCACCCTTCAAGGGGTGGACTCAAAAATTCTCCTCGTTCTTGTCATAGGCTCCTTCGGATTTTGACACACAGGCAACAGCCACTATTGCAAAATGGTACGAAAGGGTTCCAAGAAGGTCAGGACCGGGTGCATCACCTGCAAGTAGGTATTCCTCAAACCACGGAGTCGCATGCTCTAACTTCGCATCGCTTAGGGTCCGCAAGATCAAATGTGACGAGACCAGGCCCTGTTGCCGGCGTTGCACAAATACTGGCCGCAATTGCGATGGCTACGCACCTCAGGGCCGCCAGCCCACGCCGGCGGCTCATCTGGCCGTGACCTGTCAATACTTGAGAACGAAGACGGAATGTAGAGGACTGCAGTACTTCTGCGAGGTTGCCGCGCCACGCCTATTGGGCCCCAAGAGCCCCTATTTCTGGACCCACCTAGTGATGCAGCTCAGCGAGTCAGAGCCAGTAGTGAAGCATTCCCTGCTGGCAATCAGTTCTCTCTATGAGACTCAGGAAGCCCAAAAGACACCACCAGCTATGCCCAGCCTTGCATTACAGCATTACAACTCTGCGATTCAAGGACTCAAAACCACTCAGAGTGATGTCTTGGCACTATTAGGGTGTATCTTATTCACCTGTATAGAACTTCTGCAATCGAATAATAGAACGGCTATTCGGCATTGCGCCCATGGCATTGCTATCATGGAACGTTGCAACAACCCTTGGGCTCGAGAGCATCTGGTCCCCATATTCCGACGGATCAGTGTCTTGCCCCTACTCTTCGGCAGTGATTCTACAGAACTTAGCCGCTCTATGGTCCTGGGGTTTGTAATTCCCTCGAAGTTCGACAGTCTGGAAGATGCACAGGTGATGACAGATGACATTTTTAACCGACTAAAGCGGCTTTGTTCTATAAAGAAACAAGGATTACACTTCGATCAGGACATAGAACGAGAGTACATCAAGTCATTGCTGGAAAGATGGCAATTCTTGATGAAAGGCCTTAATGTCCATGCAGCGGCACAGGCAGATGGTGCTTGCAACGGGCAATACACCTTAACGATGATGCGCTTCCAATTATGTCAAGCGTGTTTTGATCTATTATTCTGCAGTGCAGCGGACGATGATGATAATACAAAGGCCTCTTGTGAGATCGTCGAATCGGCTACTTGCCTCAGTGACCTGCACACACTGTGATCGACACAGTTTTTCTTCGAATTAGGCTTCGCCCATCTTGCCCTTTGTAGCGACGAGATGTAACTGTCTGGAAATACGGTTCCCGGCGTATCGGTTAATGAAGGCACTGAGTGAGACAAAGAGGCCTTTCGGTACCCGACTGATGCATGCTACAGCTCGGAGACGAATAGAGACAGAACATGACATGATATTGAATGACCTCGACTATTCGCAGGATGTCGCCCCATGTTCTAAGGAAATTCCTTGGGGATCAAGGTAGGTAATAGTGACCAACTACTGCTTGAGTGGGCATGCTAACCTTTTGGCCCAGGAAGGAGGAATACTTGATCGATGAATGACAAAACCCAGCCTCAGCACAACCCTTTCTATCTTAAATTGATAAAGAAAATTGACTGTGCAACCCAAGGTTATGTTCTTATGAGATAGAAAGCCTGGTTCTGCCGTGCTGCCGGCAGGGCTGGCATGACATGCTCAGTCGCATCAACCAGCAACTTTGTCGCAGAATAGCTTAGGATCGGGCTCAAACATGTGTTTGATGGTCTCAGATACTTATCCCAATCCTACAAATGCCGAAAATTCGAATCCACAAGAGATACCTCTCGTTCACGTAGTACCGAGCCTTACATCCGTGCGTGCGACAGGAAAAGGGATCATTTGCTTTGTGTAGACTTTCGACGCCCGCAGTCTCCTCCCCCACACGAGGCTAGGTGCTTTAGTAGAATCAACAGGACAACATTTCGTGTACTGTTGTTTTAATGTCCGAGCCTCTGCTCCTCAATGCGAAGCAACCAATCAGCTGCCCTCAGAATCGCTAGCAAATTGCAACCTGCCGTTCACCCAGCCGACGGCCGCTCACCTGCTTACATGTAAGCGGGTGGTGAGTCTTAAGTTGTAACAACTGCTCTTTAGGGCACTTTCCAATTCCTTGTTGGATTCTGAGCTAGCAGGTTGATCGGCAGCCAAGTCTCAGAATGTATAAGGCCTGTTCCAATCGCTCGTTTATCACTCCCAAAAGGTAAGTCTATACCATCGGTCCTCTTGAGCCTCTTGTTCCATAGCCAGCTTTCTTCTTTCACAAGAATCATTGTTACTCTGTTACCCACCATGCAGATCGTTTTATCCGCCGTTATCTTCCTTGCTTCAGTGGCATCAGCCAGAGATTTCGTCTTATACGATGATGCCAACTATGGTGGAGCTGCTCATATCGAGGCACGTAATAACGATGCCGCCTGTTGTATGTCATGCCTATCCTCGGACATGGAAATTTTAATAATTAAGGACATCATAAGGAATCTCAACGGCAAAGGCGATCGGGCGAGTTCCGTAGGAGGTGATGCAGGATGCACTACATTCTTCCGGTAAGATTATTCTTTATTATTCTATGTGGATGGTTTACCCACTGACAAAACATCAGGGAACGCGACTGTAGGGGGTCCAACTGGCAGCAGCGTGGCTCTGCACCTACTGTTCCGAGCTTCCTCAATGACCACATCTGGTCATTCCGCAACCAATGCTAAGGGGCGATTGCATTGTCTAAAAACGGATCTGCGCTGTCCGTCGTTGTTATTGGTTTTCCTGCCAGGATTCCCAATACCTTTTACACGAATGTGGAGGGCTTATCAGTCGCAAGAATAGAGGGCCAAAAGAAGTGTGGTCTTGATACCTTTTGGAGACTCGGTCGAGCCTATGGGATGTAGTATTACCAATATCTACTGTCTTAGCCGTCGTAATGCTCAGCTAGTTGCTCTTGGGCTGACCAGAAGATGCTATCTTGATCTTCTTCATCTGTTGCTGCTATGCCCGGTGACCGGGTTTGCATGTGCCTTGAGGTCGTGTGGGCTCATGGCCTGGTATTGGCTATAGTGAGGGACCGAGTCTCTAATGTTAATCATAATCTCGCACAGGGTTCGAACAGGTGACGCTTTTGGCTTTATTGGTTATGCATACATGTCGCTGACCTTTGCATCCCCAGCACGTTGGCGTAGGCAGGGATGCCGTTGGATTGGTTGTGCTGGCTCAAGAATTGCATGTACCTAATCATTTTAATCTTCTCTTTAACGAATTTAGTAGCCTGCGTTGTAGCTCCTTGGTGGCAAGTCAAGGTCGGATAGGCACCTAACCCAGACTGGCAGTCAAGTTTGCGATAGCCACGGGAAGACTGAGCTGCGAGGGGAATATAAGAGAGAAAGCACAACGTACTAAATACTCACATCACATCTGACTACAATATGAAAACAGACTCAAGTTGACATACCATGCTTGAGTTACTAAAGATAGGACACTGAACATGTGGAAAAGGAGTTAGCTTTCAAGTGGGCCTATCAAGCAGAGAATCAAGAGGGATGATCCCTAACCCCACGAGACAGCTCAGGTAGCATCCGTTCTTAGAGGGCGACTTGCGCCTTCCATCCGCTCACTGCCGATGGTTTAATAATCAATTCATTGTTTGAATGAGATTGGATTTAACAGTAACACTCTCACACCGCAACTATTAGTTCATCGATAGTAAATATTATAGAAATAGTCTGTTTATTCATACTACTCTGCTAGCATGAAAGTCTCGGCTTGAAAGATTCGCCGCTATCCATCCTTCTAGCTTCGAAATCCAACCTCAAGAAACTAGTACACAGATCCAGGAAGTTCAGACAGAGATATAATGGCCAACCGCTCATCCACCTTTATCAACAAATTACCCCAGTCCTACAAGCTACGCTCCTTAGAACTAAAGAATCGCATCCAGTATTTAACAACCAATCAAGAATGTGAAACTTAAGATGATCCAGTTACCTCATACGCCCTCCAGATGATCCTGAGCAGCTGTTCTACCTCTATTCGTATGTCCCAGAGACGTTTGAATCTCCTCCACTGGCTCCTGTAACAGTGGGAACTGGGCCCCGAAAATTGCGCATCAACAACCCCCCACCTTCCTCTACTTCTTTGGTATGACTAGGGACGAACTAAGCTTGTGTGACGTGTGTTTATCCTAAGACGTATCAACAACAACTGTGACGCCCCAGGATTCGCCTCGTTAAGTCGTTGAAGATGAATTTTCCTTACACGAACCCTGTCTTGGCCTGTGCACACTAGAGTCCGACCTTGAGTCCGACCTTGTACATGCGCTAGGATCAGATGGGAAGGTGACCGAGAGAAATCCCAAACTTACAAAAACCAGCAATAACATCCTCCTTGTCCGTACCGCAACCCTGGACGACCCAGGCCGCACTCCGTGCCGACGAAATCGGAAAAGATGCCGAGTCTAGCATCACGGTTCAGATCTAACCAAAGACGGCATCTCCAAAGAGCAACTTTCTCCTTGCCAGCTAGGACGTCGGAGGCCTCGGGTAGATCTCTATATCACAAGTAATGCGGACTAAAACGAGGGTCTTGCCTGGCGGATTTTCATAGTGGCATTAAAACCCCGAGGCATTTGTAAGCTTTTAGAAGAGGCGACCCTATGGATGCTCGGGGTTTAGCAATGCTGGCCGACCTGCGGAGTGCCAGATCTGAATTAAGCACTGCTGCTGATTCTGACTGGTAACGTAAAGGTCTACAAGCGCCACCATCTCCAGGCTACCTTTGATATTGCACCTCGCAATGTAAAGCCATTCGAGCTGTCTCTATAAGCTATAAGCCTAAATTGTATTAATAGAAGTAACTGCAGTCATATTATATTAATGGTTGTATTGAGTTTGGTTGATGACTTGTGCACGGCACATGGAGGGACAATTGTACATGCATCTGCCCAAAGTTCTGTACTTTGGATGATAGCCGTCTGACTTCTGACTAAGCTTCTAGGGCTGCTAATTGCGAAAGGGTAATCAATCCTGGTAGATAATTAAATCCGATGTATCCAGCCTATAGTGGGCATGCGAGCCTTGCTGGGGCAGGTTCGTTAAGCCTGAAGTGGAGCATGAGTATGGTTGAGCGTCTAAGTTGAGGAGAAAACCCCGCTCGTCATTTTCCAGCGCATACGAGTCCGATCAAGCCAATGATGGGCGTGTAAAGAGGCACATAGCCCCACGAGACAAGAACATCTTATTTCAAATGGTTAGATCCTCATCTCCTCCAATAAGCAGGAATTAAGCTATGGTTCACAATCCTTCCTCAAGCTTGCAACTCATCAAACTTAAAACAATTATGGAGAAATCGCCCGCACGTGTGCAGGTTATATAAGGTTGTTTCTTGCATTATGGATGGAATCAGAATCATCAGTCTTCTCTTCATTCACCTGCCAAGCCCCAACCCTTCAAAATGCGTTTCATTCCCGTTGCCGCAGCCCTCTTTGCCCTGACGGACTTCTCGTCCGCCTGGACCAAGGATGGGAACGGAGTATGGACCGCCAACAACGAACATTATTGGATCCGAGGTGGTGGGTCAATTATCGCTGGTCAATTACAACAAAATTCTCACATTTCTAGATTATGTACACGAGGCATGCACGGTGATGAACACTGAGAACACCCACGTTGGACCGTGCGCATACTTCGTCGATACTAAGATTATTTTCCGAGGACGTAAGTTTTGACCAGAATCACGGCAGACTCATCACTCGAAACTCTCGCTTTAATCGGAGCATTCACTGACGGTGGACGCCATAGACTGCGCTGTTGCCCTGCATTCCAACTACAAACAGATCGAGTGCAGGTGAGCATTGTTTTACGGACCTGCACCGAGTGAATGATTTGGCAAAAGAGTAAAGATCGGGTATTATGTGGCAACATTCTCGTCCAAACCATAGCTCACAGAGTGATGAGGCAAAAAAGCTAGAGTCCTGTGTGGAGAGGGAAAATTGACGAGTGGAACTACAACACTAGACCTTGGAAATTACAATATGAAGCGTCATAATATGATCTTATCACCGTTCACTTGCCAGCGACTTAGTCTGTGGTTTTGTTAGTTAATTTAATGATAGTCGACTAGTCAATTTGCAGACCGCAAGGGCCGGGAAGCTTGAAGTGAAGTTTCTACATTTCCACATTCGCTTGTATATCTGCTGCATCCCTGCTCGACGCGACTGCATACCTAATCTCGAAAATAAACTGATACAGAGGAGATAATTTCCCAATATGTTCTTAATCTAGATACGCGACCATTTCCTCCCTGCCTTTGCAATGTAGAAAATATAACAAATAGACTGGTTACTAGCTGCAACTTGCCTTCTATCAGCAAGCATTAGGCTCCTAACTTTGCCAAGTGACTACCAGAGCTAAAGATGTGTTTTTTTCAGAGATATAACTATAGAAGAGCTAGATTTAAAGATTTAGAGGTAATTTATAGCTAATTTAAGCTTATGTAGAATATTATTATTAAATATAGTATCTTAGAGGCAGATATTTATAACTTTAATTAGGCTAGTTTTATAATAGATATTAGTATTTAGATAAGTTATTACTATAAATACAGAGATATATTTTAATACTAAGTTAGATTTACCTGTAAACGGAGAATATATTATAGAGATTTAAGGCATTAGCTTTAAGGGTTAGTATATACTGCTGTTTATTATTATTATCTCTTTAGTTAGTATTACCTTTCCAGAGGTATTTTGCACTATGTAAATCTATATATAATACAGCGATAAGAGCTTGCCTTGAAATAAAGTTAAAATAGTATTACCTTTCTATAATAGCTTAAATTTTATTATAAATAAATAAGTATATAAATTAATAACTATAAGGCATTTCATAGGTTATAAATTTATTATTTATACTTAAATAAACTAAATGTATTATTAATATTTAGGCATTTATGCTGTAATTCTATTTATTAGAAAAATCTATCTTAATTACTCTACTACTAAGGACCTTAAGATCTCTTATAATAGTGTGTAGAAAATTAAACTTACTTCCTTATATAGAAGGATATTCAGCCTTTTGAATCATCTGGCTGCAGTTTTATCTCCTCCTTGATGACTATCTCTGTTCTTGAATTCTTCAAGACAGATCTAGCAAATCCTTATCTTTTATCTAAATCTAGTATACACGCAACTCCGTTCTGCAACTATCAAACACCACTTGACAAAGCAATCACTTCTTTATCTCGCCCTATTGATCTCGCGAATACCTCCATATCCTTATCCTTTAGACCTTCGCTGCCGGCAGCTCAGATGATATCCTGCGTGTCAGGAGAAACCACCTATAAGACAGCCTGCCAGGCATTGCCTAATAGAGAAGACTCAGTGCGCTGCGCAAAGAGTACCATGGTGAGAGCAGTCACGACAAAGTGCGCAACTATGATGGCTATAACCACAGCAAAACCTCTCTAGTGTTGCGGGATAAGCACCTCTTGAGCATGAATCGTTTTAACTTCGCGAGTAGGATTAAAGTTAGGCAGCCAGTCGTAGTATAGTATCTGGTAGAAGCAGAAGATAACTGCTTATATCGCTTGCGCTGGATCGCCAGTCAGACGAAGCATGTTTTGGAACACGGCGGCATGCTCTGGGTGGGTCGGCCAAATGATTTGGGTCAGGAATTCGTCTTTCATAATCCTGCCCGCGAAGCTCCAGCTGCTGCAGAATACGCGTGCCATTTTCTGCGGCCATCAAGGTTGACCACTCAGCCAGGAACTCTGGTTGGGAGGGAACAGCTCTCCCCGTCATAGTGACATTGTACTTGTGAGGTAGGTTCTGGCTGATATAGTAGATGGTCGCATTGAATACATTGGTCCCATTGGCTGTAAAGGCCGTTGTCCAAGGTCCATCTCGGCGAAATGTCAAGTTATCTAACGCTTTCGGTATTTACGGCGGGCTTGAATCTTGAGTCTTTTCGTTCGAGACAGGGGCAATCCCATCCAAAGCTGAGCCTGAGTCAACGAGCAGAACCGAATTGAAGCCATAAGCCCAGCCAGAGAGGGGGTTCTCGGTGCCATTTTTTATGGGCATAGTATTTGCTATGCTGCTGCATAGAGAGATTGGTAGCAGGAACGGGTCTATGCTAAGCCACCTATTGTGAATCCTATAGGTTATCTGTCTAAGCTTGCTCGGATCAGTCCCAATGAAGTCAGTCTGATTCTCGACGGCAATAGTGGCATTAAGATACAAGCCACCGGCCGCAGAACAATCATTTAACTTATGAATGAGTCCGACATTGTCTAAGGTCGATGCAAAGCAGGCAGTTCGCTGATTAAAGACAACAGCAGGCCCGGCGTAGTACTCGAGAGTAGCCCTGTCTTAGGGGCTGTCAAATGGAAGCATTGCCCAATAGATGTCGCCTATATTAACAGCATTTTCAGTGCAAAGCCCTATTTCCATCTCGGCGGGACAAGACTCGGCAAAGCGCCAATGAGCCATCGGTCTTGATTTCCAATATGAGATGCCGTTGAATGGGAAATATGAGATGCCGTTGAATGGGAAGATCTCTGATGTATCAAAACCAACGGCTTTGATGTTTTTAGCCACCGGACTCGAGATCTGGTCTTGGCCAAAGTCGAAACTAACGCAACGAAAAACGTCAATGCGAGGATAACAAGGTAAAGAAAACCTAAGGGGCGGCCTGCAAGACAGTGTCGCCAAGCTGTAGGAAGAAGATCCGTTGGGCCGGCGCTGGAGCTTGAAGCCTTCTAGATCGATAGCATGGCCGTGTCAGAGAAGCAACTGCCAGTAGTCTCTAGTATGACAGCCGCCATAGCCGCTGCTGCAAGTCCAATCTGGAAACCCATCGACACTTGAATAGTGATAGAACAAATGGTGACAAGTCGCGTGGACCAGTCATCAAAGACAATTTTATCCCAGAATTCGGCTCGGTGATGGCGGCTCCTCGCTTTGTCAGCACCCTGCCAAAGGACGATGAGTAGCGCAACAGAAAACAGGATGACACCCGTGCCGAAGGTGAGAATGATCATTCCAGGCAGACTGATTCTATAACACCATTGTCGATTTTGTTGTTGCCGTGGTGGGATGACGAATGCTTTTTGAGATCGCAATGGCCTTTCGTTTATGTTCAAGTTCCATTGACAAGACTTATCTGACAGTCCGGCCTGGCCTGTCTCGTTGGTGATGGCATCTTGACTACTGTATCCGATGGAGTTGGCGGCGGAACGGCTTGTGTCGTGTCCGGTTCTGTGTTCGCGCTGTTTCAGTACCTCAAGGTTGTTAACTGCTTGATACCCAGCCATGAGGCCTGTCTTGAGCTGTGTGTGATGGGGAAAGTGTGCGAGTCGGGAATAATGCAGTCAGGCGAGAGCAGAGGTTCTGTCTTTTAACCCTTCAACCTGATCTGTCCCTGAGCGACTTCATCCAATACATTATCAAGGCTAACAGTTAGGTACTTTTGTAATAGCAGAATGTTTTATTGTTATGGGCACTATACCACTTCAGCTGTCTGTTTTTATCACGCTAAGCAAGGCTCCTATTTTAGTATAAGGAATATAATAGGTTAGCTCGCATTCAGGAGCGGAGACTCGGACTCTAAACAACAAAACAAAAAAAATGTTAGTAGTCCTGTTAATCCTAATATACTATCTAACCATGTAGGGTTATCTGCAAAAGCAGGGATATATTGTCCCTATTCAGGAATAGTTAGTCTTAGATGCATATCACTTCTATATGTAATCCTAAACGCGGACTTGACTGCATGACTAATTAAGGGCCTGTAAGTTTCCCCTTTTATTCGAGGACAGACAACAGATACAAAGCTCTGATAACTACAAGTGTTTTGACAAATTTCTCTTCAAACGAAAGGAGGTGTTAGTTTACCTGTTACCGTTTAGATCGGGCTTAAAAAGGTATGAGGTGTAAAGACAATTCAAAAGGTTTCTCGACTGAAGAAATTCAGTCTTAATGGACGCACCGGGGGTATCTCTAAGATATTCAAAGTCTTAAAGTTAAATTTAAGCTTGAACTATTCAAGTTTGGCGAAAAAATGAGACAGCAGTGTAGCGACAGGTCAATGAACATTTCGGCTTTCAATATTCCATTGCGTTTTATCATCCCATGCTTTACTTAAATCTTATCTCTTCTCAAATGAATTCTTCTCCGTTTTAAAGACTTTCACTTTCTTTACAAGGCTTCTAGCAGTATCATACACAACTATGCTTTTACTAGGCCAAAAAAAGAAATTATAGCCTACTACTTTATATAAATATACATAAATATAAATATAAATATATTTATATATATCTATATAGGACGTTATTGTAATATTTATATAGCCATGTCTGGCTGCCTTCAATATCTATGGCATGCATACTTAAACCCCCATCTATCAACCCCTAAACTTGATCTCGATAAAGTTATGCAGAGCCCCAGGCACCTCAGAAACATGGCCAATCTCCAGCCTCTCGTCGACATCCCCCAGCAGCTTCTTCCAATCCTCCAGATTCCTCTCCAAGGAGTTGAACACGCCCAGCATATGCAAGTCCGCGGCGGCAAAAGTCCGTCCCAGCATCTGAAAGGGCGGCTCGACACCCTCTGGCAGGCCCACCGCCTCGACAAGCAGGATGCGGGAGCCTGACTTGAGCCGCGGCACCAGGTTGGCGAGGATCTTGGCCGCGTACTTGTCCGGCCAGTCGTGCAGGATCGTCTTCAGCATGTAGACGTCACCGGGGGTGTTTTGCGGGCCGAAGAAGTCGTGGGGCTCAAAGCTGACACGGGACTTGAGCTCTTCAGGGAGGCGCTCGTCAAAGGCCGCTTGCACCTCGGGGAGATCCTGGACCACGATCTTCTTGAGGCTGGGAAACGTGCGAGCCAGATGGACAGCGTCATGGCCACTTGAGCCGCCGACCTAGTACATATTAGCAGCAATACTGTCTCGAAACAGATTTTGGACTGCTCACATCAACAAGGGTAACGTCGCCGAGCTGAGCCCAGTCATAACCAATCTTCAGCAGATCCTCGGCCCGGATAGCCGACGCACTCGATGCCGCCTGCATACTCTCGGCAAAATTGGTCGCCCGCCATCCCTTGGGTTTACCCTCTGCTTCGCGGTTGAGATAATCCCAGAATGACTCGGGCGTCTTCAGCTTATCCACGTTGGCCAGCGAAAAGGGACTCTCGATGGGTTCCTCGCTGGGCTTGTCCTTACCGGCGCTGAACTTCTCAAACGACTCGGCAAAGTGGACGCCCGCAACGCGCGCCTCGTCGAAGTGGTGGCGAAACCAAGAACGGATGAGGTACTGCTTGGCGGGGACGGCGGACAGCGACGTGTGGACAACGCGGTCTTTGTCGCTTGGGTCGCGAGCAAAGTAGCGGATCGTGATGGCGTACTTAAGGACGCGGCGGACGAGGCTCTCTGGGAGGCTCACCTTGGTGGCGATCTCACTATATGATGCTGAACCGCCCACAGGGACGGCGTTCCAGATGTCAAAGTGGTTGAGGACGTCGATGACGGTGGCGTCATAATTGAGCTGGATCTAGTGAGCTGGTCTGATTCTTTGGTATGTAAAGTGGGCGAACCGACATGGAGGGGGGCAAACATAGAATTGTCAGTTGGGCCGAGGGCAAGTCGGTACAGGTCTGCTGCTGCGTCGATAAGCTGGAAGCGGAGGCCGTTGAGCTCTGGGAGCTTAGGATATTCGACGAGGCCATCTTCAGCGAATGACGGCGCGGGGCATGCGGATTCCTTGAGCTTGGCGGACAGGGCGTTGGCCGTCTCGGAGATGGTCGCTGCCAGAGATTCGAGGGAGGGGTTGTTGTTGTCTGCCATGGTGATGGATAGTTTAGAATAGTTGTGTGGTTAGCTACACTTGCCTGGGACAGCTTGACTTTATCCTCACTTGCGACATGTTTATTCACAGTCTCACCTTCACTGACAGGGCGCCATCCCAATCACAACACAAATCAGAGCCCATCTCTGGTAGCTTTGGAGCGGAAGCCTGTCGAATCGGGTAGTAGTGCTGACGGCAGGGATGCGTTTCCAATAGGGCTGAGTCCGAACTGGCCTCTTACGTACGGCGGCAAACGAATTGCACACGGGATAGTAGACCCATGCTACATAAATCCGAAAGTCCACCATGCAGTGCAGTGATTTTAGAAGATGCGGGGTTTTGTCGTCAATATGGATCGAGAGTACGGATAGACGTGGCAGAATTGGGTTGGCGTGGCCATGGCGAAACTGGGGGATTGAGTGGAGGAACCCCGGCTTCTAGGACACTACGCATTGGCTCTTTTCACCACGAACCAACTCCTGACAACAGAGACGCTTGCGGCAGCTGTTAAGAAGACCAGTCAGTTGAACTATTCTGTTGCTTCTCTGCGAGGAATTGCTTAGTCAGGGGACTGTGTCCCTAGCCTGCTGACAGGGGAGCTGTGCCTCGAGCGCACAGGACCTGTGCGCCCTGACGGCGCCCTACATCAAGGTCCTATAACATAATCAGGAACACATGAATCTATTTCGTCAGAAACCCAGCAATCCAGAAATAGTGGTCAGGAGTCCATCGAGTTGACATAAGGCGTACGTTGCCTTTAAAAGCATGATTATCCAAAGACACGGTGTATGTCGGTTGACGGTGTCATGAATCTGGTATACCAACAAATTAACATTTATTGGTCTAGTGCATGCGAGTTAACCACTTGCTGTTTAAGCTGGTCAAAGTTAGTTTAGAATCTGACATGGCCAATCAAGATGGTGAATGGCCTCCCCTCTTCCCCTCATATGCCGCGGGGAAAGGGATGAATATGGTATGCAGCCCTGCCAGATTGAAAGATTTGGTATAATTCACAGGCCTGCAAATAATTTCGTACCTTGCTGTTTGGAAGTTATAACCTCCACTCCTGAATGCGAGCCGGCCTATCGAATGCCTTGTCTCTAAACGAGAAAAAAAAAAGATATCATCGCCGAAGAAAGCCCTACGGTTAGTAGGTAGATGTGATTGGCCAGGTCGGTCTCAATTTAGGTGTGTACGCTTGTGTCCGATGCTGACTTGATCAGCTAATCCATTTCTGTTTTAGCAGGTGGGGCAACCTGTCATTAGATTGGATATCGTGCTAAGTGATAGGTAGAATGGAAAAGTGGTTTTCAAAGGCCTTGTTTTTTCTACAAAGGAAATATGGGTTTGAGGTGGTTTTAACCTAAAAGGAGCGTACCTACACTAACGTGCAAATCCAGCCAATCAGAGAACAGAAGTGCTCAATATTGGCGCCTGAGGATGGTCACCACTTTATGACACTTACTTAACCGATCCAATCCGTGCTCGGAAGATGAAGCGCTGCCAACATTAAAAGCTACCACGTCCCTCACCACTCGCTCATATCTAGCTGAGTGCTGGATATGACTGGTCCAGGAAAGAGACATACATGTCAATTTTGTGATGATGGCTTCGACGCCGACAGAAGAATCCAAGCCCGCTGGTACAGTCGACACCCGTCGATTAATCTTTCCGGAGGGCGGAGAAGTTTGTCCCGTCAAGCCGCTGGAAAGACCACCCATTCTGTGTCTGGGCAGCCCCTGCACAGGTACTGCCTCGTTGATGAAGGCCCTCGAGATACTTGGGTTCCCCAACACGCATTATGGATGGGATCTCTGCGAGCTCGACCATTTACAATGGCAGTGGCCAATCCTGGACCAAGCCAACGACGCTACATTCACAAGCCTCCCTACGTATCGCGGGGCACCCTTCTCTCGAGAGGAATGGGACCAGGTCTTTGGGCAGTACGACGCCGTTTCAGATGTGGCGTCTTTCTATGCCGAGTCTCTGATCCCAGCGTATCCTGACGCCAAGGTGATCCTCGTTGAGCGCGATATCGACGCTTGGTGTAATAGCATGCAGTCTGTTGTTAAGCCGATAATGAACCCCTGGATGCGTTGGTTCGTTACAAAAGTCGGCGACTACGCAGGCTACCCATGTGGCTCGGTGTCATTCCGAACGCAGCAGGGCTGGACCAAATCGGGATGCCCCGAAGATGTTGAGAAGAATCTGAGATCAGCATATATAAGGCACTACGAATACGTTCGCGCTAGTGTTCCGAGGGAACAGCTTCTTGACTTCAACCTGGCCGACGGTTGGGAACCGCTGTGCTTGTTTTTGGGAAAAGATGTCCCTGATGTCTCCTTTCCACATATTAATGAGAAAAGGGAGTACACGGCCAGAAGTAAACGGTTAGGGGATAAGATCATAAAAAGCGCGGCCTGTAAGCTTTTTCTCCCTTGGTTAGCATAGCACGTAGAGGCTTGCTAAATGTCTGGGTTCCATTCTATTACTCTTAGAGCCATAGGATAAAAGATTAGATATTAATAATAAAGCATTTTATAGTTACCTAGACTAGGTAGTAAATAGTAAACTGTTTTTAATCTGATTTTCATATTATTAATCTTCTTTATTCTGTCCTAGAAGTCCCCTAGTATGTTAATATATACTATTATTTAATTAAAGGGCTATTATATATATTATAACCTCTTAGATAATAAGAGTATAAGGGCTTATAAATAAAGAAGATAATATATTATAATATATATAAAAATAAAGTAATTATAAAGTTTAAAAGAAATATATTAAGTTTTATATAAGCTTAAATTACTTAAAGTTAAAGACTTATATTATAAACCTAGTAGTTATATTATATATATTTTATATTTTTTACTAATTATATATAATTACTTTAAAGTAAAAGTATAATAGTTTAGTTATAATTATATTAAACTAAGTTGTATTAGGTTTATTATTAGCAGATTATATAAGGTATATAACTAAGCCTATTAAAGTGTTATATCTTTTAATAATGAATTTAATATATATTAGGCTTAATTAATATAAAGAAGGTTAGGGTTAAGATAGGGTTAGTATTAACTATCTAAGCTATCTTTGCTATAGTATTTTTCTTTAACTAAGATTTAGCTAATAAGAAGGAGTAGAGATTTTTCTAAAAGAAGATAATAAGAAAATAAGAATATAAGTAAAAATAGGAAATAGGGAGATAAAAAGAGAGGTAAAAAGAGAAATAAAAAGAGAAATAAAAAAAAAAGAGAAAAAAAGAAATAAATAGGGAAATAAGCTAAAATAAGAGGTATAGCCTAAATAGGCAGTAAAGAAATAGATATTATAACAAAGGTGGTTTTAAACAGGGAAACTAGTCTATATTAGGTTTATATTTACAGATAGTATAGGGCATTAATACTAAGCAGGTTAGTTATTATATCTCTTAATAATTAAATAATACTTATTAGGCTTATTAATATAAAGAAGTCTTATTAATAGCTAGTAAGCTAGGTTCTATCTAAGTGCTAATAAATATAGTTTATATACTAGGAGTAATCTAAGAGGATAACTAAGGTAGTTAGATTATAATAATCCTAAATTATAGTAATTCCTAGAGTATTATAATCCGATTTATAAGGTAATCTAGCTCTAATTAGCCTATAGCTATTAAGGGGCTAATGCCTTATATAAGTTTTATAAGGTATATATAATATAACTACTAGGGTTATAATATAATCTCTCTCTTCTATTAGATCTTATTCTTAAGACCTTAAAGTAGGCCTAATTTGTTTTTTAATTTAATTAGTTTTAACTTATATCCCTAAATATTTTCTATTAGTATATACTATTAATAAGATATCTAGTTATATTTTAAAATCTATTAATTAAAAAACTAAAAAGTATAAATTTTTAACTAAGAGTATTAAGCTATTATATAAACTTATTAATATATTATATTCTTATTATTTTAAATACTAGAAGGAGTATTTAATAATAATAGATTTATCTTATTATAATAAATATATTTATTAAAGGTAATTCTATAATAGTATTTAAGTAGTATTTTTTTATATATTATTTTTTTTCTCTTACTTATTTAATTACTAATAATCCTTAGTTAAGAAACTAATTTCCTAAGAAAAGAAACTAAATAAGGATAAAAAAGAGGTAGGTAAGAATCTCTTAAAACTTTATAAGGAATTAGCTATATTATAAGTATATATAGCTATAGCTATTAGTTATTTATCTTATATTTATAAGATTAAAAATAAGGTAAAAAAGTATTATATATTTAAATTCTATTATAGTATTTAAAGTCTTAAAGGGGAAGATAAGCTAGCTAAAAAGTTAAATTAATAAGAAAATAAGGCTTTTAAGGAGCTTTAATTTTTAAATCCTAAGGGTATTAATTAGGATTCCTTAGGTCTAGGAGGTTTTAACTTTAACTTTTTATCTTCTAATATTATTAATAAAAGTTCTTTAGAAGTTATTAAGTATTTATAAGATATTTTATTAATTCCTATATATTTTTACTTTCTAGGTAGTTCTTTTATTTAATTAAATATATTTTTTATTTATTAATTTTTTATATATCTCTAATTTCTTTTACTTTATATACCTCTAGTCTTATAATTTATTATAATTTATTACTAGTTTTAATATATATTATATTAATAGCTAATTTAAGTATTAAAATATAATAGATTAGGTAATATCTAATATTTAGAGGTAAGTCTAATTTATATTTATCTTCTTTTATCTTTTATTTAATTTTAACTAATCCTAAGTATTTATAATTTAATTTATAACTTAGTTAATTTATTTTAATATTTTTAATAGATAAGTAAATTATATCTCCCTTTATAAAGGTTAATTTTTTTAACCTTTTAGGGTTATAATATCTTTATATCCTTTTCCTAATATATTTTAACTTATTCTTAAGTTCTTTATATACTTTTTTTAGCTTATTACTTATAATAATAACTACTAGGTTTATAGTCTTAGGTTTCTAAGTATTATAATATATATTAGGTATAAATCTAATATTTATATTAAATAATATAAGTTTTATATTTTTATTATAGGTAGTATTATAGGCTAATTAAGTACTTAATAGCTTTTTAATTTAATTATCTTACTTATAGTTAATATAATACTATAAGTATTACTTTAATATTAAATTTATTTATTTTATTTAATTATCTGCTTATAGTCTAAAGGCTATAATAAGTTAATAATTAACTCTTATATATATTATAAGTAATTACTAGAATTTAAAGGTAAATATTAGTCCTTTATCTAATAGAATTTCTCTTAGTAATCCTTATTTTTATATTACCTTATTATAGAAGATATATATTATTTCTTTTATATTTATTACTTCCCTATAAGGTAAGTAAATTAAATACTTTATAAGTCTATTTATTATAATTATAATATTATTATAAAAGATTTTAATTAAGGGTTCTTTTAATAATAGTAGTTTAATTATAAAATCTATTATAATTAAGCTTTATAATTATTTTACTACTTTTATTAGTTATAATATCTTATAGGGTTTATATTATTATGCCTTTATTCTTATATAAATATTATATTATTTAATAACCTTTTTTACTACTTCCTTTATT